TCTATCAATTACCTATTTTTAAAACAAATTCTTATCTACTGGGGAAGTTTTATTCTCAGTGCATCACTATTGACAATAGTGGTTTTCCAATCTGTGGCTTTTAAACACAGACTATTTTTGACATGTTTGTGAAATAAATGTACAGCACAGTTCTGTCTTTGGTCTTGTAAAGTTTGAGAAAAGACCAGTGATTTAAAATTTAAAGTCCCATAAAAATTTAAATATAACTGGAGGTAAGATTTTAAAACTCAAGTAGGATATACATGCAGAGCACAGATCAAGAGTATTTCAGAGCTGTGTTAAAGTTTATTATGAAATACAGTTATCAGTATGCAAGTACTTCATAAAATGCTCTGTAAGGTATTATCACTAACAATAAAAATAACAATTTCGGGTGACAGATACTGTAATATGCCATAATTGAGATGATCTAAATATGAAGCTGTTTTTGTTAAGTTCCTATTTCAGTCATCTCTTCTTTTGTAGACAAAGGTCTTATTGATCCCTCCTTTGTTAATTTCTCATTGTCCCATTCTTTTAAATCTTATCACACCAACCCAAACCAAGATTACACAGAGGGCAGAGAAACTTTCCTTTCTTTATCCTCAGTCACTAGCAAATAGCCCGACCTTGATGCATGAATCTATTTGTTCGTTTATTCAGAATGTACATACTGAGCTTCATGATGTTATTGGACAGACTCAAGACAAGACAGACTTGTCAACAGATGCAAGACAGACTCAATTCTGTACTCCAGAGTCTCTCCCCAGGAAAGCTCATCCACAGCCTCCTTTATAATATGTGCTATCAATTTTTTCTCCAGTCTAGTCTGTCTCCTGGCTTGAAATCTGTGTAGTCAGCTGCCTGCCTGGTCCATTCTTATGGATGCTTCACAAATTCTTAACCTCAAAATGTCTGAAACTCAAAATGTCTCCCCCTTTCAGGAAGGGCCATTATCACTCATCAAACTAGGCAACCTGAGACCCCTTTGTTGTCAACACCTCCCCTTTCCCCAGCTCTCAAGTCTTACCCATCACCAAGTCGTCTCCCTTTCTCTGACATCCTAGGCCAAGCTATCATTGCTGCTCACCTGGAAAACCCAAATAGCTTTCTAATGATCTTTTCACCTCTTTCACCTGTCCCTCATCCATCTCACATTGCAGACAGAAAAATGGCAAAAACACAAATACAGGTGCATTTGTTTCTGCTTAAAACCTTCCATGTCTTCCTGTTGTTCCTAGGAAAAAGCACAACCTTTAGCATGACCTTCATGCTGGGAAGAGCTGACCCTACCTACCTCCCCAGCCTCTCCTGAGGTCCCTTTTCCTTCCTGCTCTGTTTTCCTGGATCCTTGAGTATGCTTTTTTAAATATTTTATTTTATTTTATTTTATTTTTTTTGGCGGTTATTTTCCATGCAATGCTGTCCTCCTCCCATTTCTCCCCACCCACTCCTGCTTTGTCTGGATAATGCCGGCTCAGCTAAATGTCATCTCTTCAGGAGAATCTTCCTTTGCTTCCCTCCGTTTCCCCACTAAGCCAGGTCCCCTGTTATCCATTCCATAGCACTCTGTGCTTTTTCTTCTTGGAATTAACCACAGTGTGTAATTTGTGTACCTAGTTGTGTTATTTATTTGATTAATGTGTACTAGACTAAAAACTAAATTAATGTCTGACTAGACTAAAAACTCCCATGAGGTCAAGAACTACACATCCTTTGTTCACAATTTCAGCAGCTACAGGTGTTTGATACTTATGATGTTGAACGAATGGATCAGACTGTGTAGAAATTCATCATCTTTCCATAATATGGCCTTGATCACTTGCAGTCTTTCTCTAGTTCAACTTTGGATATACCTCTTTGCCCTCTGAACATGGTTTAGTCATCCTTTTCTTTTCACACAAGTCCCTCTACCAAGAATATTCTTCTCCATCTTTTTTATTTATGCAAGCTCCAAGGCTTAATCAAGATACATCACATCCTTCAACCTTCCTCTGTTCTCTTGGGAATATTTGAAATTTTCCCATTTTCTTGGACCTCCTGTATCTATAACATTGATGCTTTACATAATTTACCTGCACATTTAAATATTTTTAAACCTTTTGAGAACCAGTAATTTTTGTGGTTATAGCTCCAATTTAGTCTATTTACAGCCTGCATACTACATAAATATTTGATACTATGCTAGTCATAGTAATGGATAAAATAATTAAAAGACGTAAGACACGGTTTCTTTCTTCAATAAATAGAAAATCTTGTTGGGAAAATCAACGTTTCCACACCCAACAGTAACCTGCGTAATGTTTTCCTGAAAGAATAGCATCTGTGAGGATTAGAAGTACTTACACGCTTAGGGATTTCAGTGTTATTTATTCTTTTTAGAAAATTAGCAACAAGGTTTCTAGAAAGACTGTTATTTTAGTTGCCTTAAGGATATTGATTCTGAATTAAATTATTATCTCCAGCTGCATCTAGAAAGAAATATATCATTCGTTTGTGTTAGCATTTCATTTGGATCATAAGAAATATTTCCAATAAATAAAAGTATTACGTTATTAATACTTTTAATAATAAATTAGAAAAGATTTTCTAATTTAAAGAAGCCCCTAGGGCTGATACTGGATTTGGTAGTAATTTTAATAACTTTTAAATACCTTTGGAAAAAAAGTGAGTTTTTTATATGTATGAATTTAAATGGACTGAATCTGTTGACAAATCATTTAAAGAAAAATATGCTTTACTTTATGTTGTAAAATGCCGGGAGATAGCTCCAAAACTGGCATTGCTGCCTTGGTGATGGGATATTGAAGATGACAGAGGGTTTTCTGGCCCCTTGACTGAATCTCAGCAGGCACGGGTCACTCTAAGAGGGAGTGTTCCGTTTCTCTCTGTAACCTTTCCTGCACCAGAGAACCTGGGTCTGTGGAAAAATATACTTAGAATCCATCCTGATTTTATTCTCTTTGTCTTTTTGGAGAGACAAAAAGACAATTTGCTACGTAAAGAATAAGGTCACCATTATTGATACTGTCTGTTCACATAAGAAGGAAGAAAATAATTACGTGATAAATACAAAGAAGTTTTCAGAAAGTGGGCACTTCCCCGAGAATATCCCATAATGCCAAGTAAAGCATTTGGCATCATGCCTGGCACATGGTAGACACCGCAGCCATTGCGGTTAACACCTACACAAAATGTGTCGTAAGTGTGAATTGTTCTATGGTTCCAGTGCCCAGACTTGAACTTCTTAGAGTTTAAACAGTTCTTGGTACTGGTTGGCTAAATGAGAAAATGTGACTTTTGATTATCTTAATTATTGCCTTTCAGTGTATGGTAAACTGTTTTTGTAACCAAGCTGATGAATTTTCTCTATTATTTACATAAATATGAATACAGCCCCCCAATAACAACCTTAAGAACTTTAGTAATTGAGTACTGATGGTGATAAATACTATTTTTATGTCTTTGCCTTTTTAAGCCTTGCTTACTTGATTCATTTTTCTCCCATTTTATTGATCATATTTCTCTTTACAATACTTACATACATAGGCTGTTTCTTCTGAGATACATAGAAATGGTTGTGATAATTTTAACTGCATTATGTGTGACTCTTACAAATTCCCTGGGGTTGAGACCAGGTTTCATGTTCCTCTTTCATTCCATGGCACCCATTTCTGTGGTGGCTCTGCAACAGGCATTCGGTGTACGTGGTGATTGATGAGCCTATTCCCATAGCAGGGAAGGCTGTCTTAGAATTGGTCCCCCATTTGGCACTGTGGGGAAGGTAAAGGTCTCCAACAGGAGATTTTTTTTACCCAAACATTCTTAAAGAATACTGTAAATGAGAACTGACCACAAATGACCAGCTGCCACATTTAAGAACAAGATGACTCCGGCATAAAACAATTTAGTGATGAGCGTTTCCACATGCCAAATGCAGTCAGAGCCAGGGGGGAACTAAGGGTATGACAGGTTCTGAGTGACAAAATAAATGGCATTGTTAAATATGAGTACCAGGTGGGCACTGATTTCTGAGTTATTTGTACCATTTGTCCTGATGTAAGCCATAAAACAGGTTGGCTGCTGACCAGAACCTGCAGCTGTGTATAAGAGATGTCTCTGCACAAGCACCAGACAACAAAGAGTGATGAGAGGTTTAAAGTTTTTTTATAGTTTTATATATGACACAGAAAATAAAATTGTTGATGTTATAGGCCTGGGGCCAAAAATGCCGACATAGATCGACCTAGCTGGGGCTACAAAAATGGTTTGCATTCCTAAGAAATGTCTAAGTATTAGAAGTAAACAGTTAAGTTTTAAAAGGGTAACTTACATGCATATTTCACACACTGTCATCTTTATGCTCTCTAGTGTCTGAGCACTTCCTCGCTTCCTATGATATTGACTGCAGTTTGGAAATCAAGAAGGAGGTGGTCCAATGCATGGGCTCCTTCCAGGATGGGGTGGCCGAGAAATGTGTTGATTATTTCCAGAGATTCCGACGTTCTACCCATGTGACGCCCAAATCATACCTCTCCTTTATTCAGGGCTATAAGCTCATATATGGAGAAAAGCATATGGAGGTACAGACCCTGGCCAACAGGTAAGTGTGATGTTCATATACAAAGCTATATTAAAGCCGTGGCTCTCGACCAGGGACAGATTTGCCCTGGTGGATATTTTGCAATGACCAGAGACATTTTTGTGTGTCACAACTGAGGCGGCAGGGCAGGGGAGGGGTACTGCTGGCATGTAGTGGGTAGAGGCTTAGGGATGCTGCTAAACTTCTTGCAGTTCTTTTCCGTCACAACAAAGAAGTATCCAATCCCAAATGTCTGTGGTGCTGAGGTTGGGAAACCTTCCTCTAGAGCCTATTGACTATTCCTTGCCCAGTAGGATAAACTATTGCCAGGTTTTTATGTGGCCCACTGCTTTCTATAATATTGAGTGACTTCAGGATAGAAGTAATAGACCTGGAAGGGAGTTGCGAATGCAGACATCCCCTCTTCCCTCTTCTCACCCTTCTCTTCCCATCCCTTCTGAGTGACTGAGAGGGAAAAGCCAGGTTGATGCATATGTTCACTGCCTAAGGAGCATCCCTGCTTCCCTGAAGTTTCTTCCAAATGTCACTGCTCTGCCCTATGCTTTTCTGAACAATCAGATCATCTTCCTGAGCATGGCTAGAATGAGCCAGGGTAAGGAATCCCTGGGTGGGTGGTTACATGAAATGACTCTGAGGGTTCCCATCTTTAAGGTCACGTTATTTCAGGTTCAGGCAGGCAGCTAGTTCCTTCCTACAGCTGTTTTGATGGCTTTAAATTTGTTTCTTAAGCCCACATCATTCTTCTTTTAATTTCTTTAGTCTCTTTTGAAAAAACAGGCATTATTTTCCTTCTTCCATGACAGGGCTTCAAGCATTTGAAGTCT